ACCAATGGTTATTTGATTGAATAAATTTACTATCTAGTATTTGAAGATAATTTTTTTTGTAATTTTGGTAAATATGTCTGTTAAAAGAAGATGTCAGTGTTATTTTCATTTTTGCGTCATTTAGACTACAGTTTATCCATCGCTCAGTTATATTATCATATTATACTAGGCTATCATTATTTTGTGAGAGAAAAATATGCCTTCTCCATTACCTCTCTGGATATATCCAACAATGTTCGAAAATAACCTAATCCTGGGTGTGACGATAAACTACATCCAGCAGTAATGCTTCTGATCGGGAGATCGAAGGTTTTGAGAAGCGTGGAACCACCTCTTTTACTCAGGTCCACTCTGACCCAGTGCTGTGGTAGGATCCACCTAATTTGCATAGTGGAGTACCGACCATATAAATATAGTTGGTACCGGGAAGAGAGGGAGGAATCAAAAGATTCAACCAGAGACTCTGCCCGACTGCGACTCAGTCAACACATTCTCCAGGAACGGTGTTACCAGGAATATACAAAAGACTATATGTAAATATTGTGTACACTTTCTTGTTTCAATACATTTTGTTCTAAGTACCTTTTGTGTTGCATTATTATTCCATGCATTAGTCAAGTTTCAACACCCAGGATGGAAACAATTTTTAGGGTCTATGGGCAAATAGGGAATCCCTAAACAAAAACAACGCATTGTGAAAGTATAAAAATACATTGTTATAGTAAAAAAAAAGAAAGAGTAGTACATTTTTATATATAAAAACGACCAACAATATATTTCTAAAGCAAAATGTCCAGTAACATCTTTTAGCATAGAATTACCAACAATACATTTTATTTGTAGTTGAATACATGCAATAAAAAAATTAAAGAGATTTGTGTGTTACATAGAGGGTGATAAGCCGCTAAACAAAATCAACCAAAAAACAAACCAGCATGAAAGAACTCTTTCATGACATTGATCCATATAATATTTTATATCTACTTAAAGAAACCAAAGAGTCCTCCAAAATATATCTTTAACAATACTACAACCTAAAACGTACATATCACCGCCTCTAGTAATTATATCCACAAGAAATATCTATATGCACAAAAGCGGAGTATAATCTACCATGTATTCAATTGTGAAAGCAGAATAACATATATCATATTATTATTAAATCAAAGCACGAGAAAAGAAAATTTCGGCATTAAGTGACGCTCATATTTGAGTAGATAATCCGTTGATTTATTAAACATTATATTTATTTATTTTCGTCTACCGACCTGAATGTTCGATAAATCCTATTAACGAAAATACTTCCGTATGTCCGTACAATATGTCCACAATTATGTCCGCACAAAAGCTGAGTATCATTTACCATGTATTCAATTGTGAAAGCAGAATAACATATATCATCCATCCTTCAAATCTATAAATCAACCATTTGCCCTTGCATAAAATATTGCTGTCATATATGGTCTGGAGCTCCCGCAATTCGTCTTAGGGTCCTCGAAATATATCCAGAGACGGATATGCAATGTGGTTGGCCCTGATCTGACATCTTATTTACAGTCGATCTCTCCCGGACGTGCCGTCGCCTCCCTCTGTCTTTTCTACAAATACTTTCACAGTAACTGCTCCAACGAAGATTCTTTCGATGTTTTTTGTTTTTGTTTTACGGCATATCAGCCGCAATTGTTTATTTAATGCCAACAATTTTTATTGCAGGTAATATTTTTCTTCTTAAATGTATTGCAGTTAATTTTCTTTTCCCTTCAAAAATTTATTTCTGGTAAGATTTTTTTTTTCTTTAAAACTGTATCGCTGGTAATACTTTTTGCAAAAAATGTACAGCTGGTATTTTTTGGCCAAAAAATATATAGCTGGTAATATTTCAGTTTTTCAAAAAGGTTTGGTTTGTTTTGTTTTACGCCATGTCAACCTCAATGGGTTATTTAATGCTGACAAAATTTTTATTGCTGATAATATTTTATTTTTTTCAAAAATGTATTGCTGGTAATTTTTTTCAAATATGTATCGCTGGTAATATCTTTTTTTAAAAATGTATACCTGGTAATATTTTTTTAAATGTCTTACTGCTAATAATATATTGTTGGTAATTATTTTTCTTCTAAAATTTGTTGCTGGTAATAATTTTTTCAGTATTTACATTAGTCGGACTATTGTCCTCATCTTTGTCGCCATATTTTTCACAACGTTTCGGTCGTTGTACGCTCCGGCCTTCTTCAGGTGGTTGGAATTTCGAACTGAACCCTTTATTTCGCTCACTGGGGTAGACTGTTCTAGTTCCACGTGCCATGTTTGATGGATGTCAGTTATCAGTAATCTCGTGCTAATTTTCCCTCTGAAAGTTCTCCACTGCCTTAACCAGGTATTGAACTCACCTTCTTGGGTCTGTCACTGATCTAACTAACGTTTTTATCCACTGTGCCATGTGTCCTTGAGGACACATGGCACAGTGACAAATATGGCGACAAATATGAAGACAATAGTCCGACTAATGTAAATACTGTACATAATACCTCATCTCAGAAATATAGACAGACTCTAATAATTTTTTACAAAGTATTTCTGACATTAAAACCTATTTTTACACTTTCATAGCGTTTGACTCCAGTTTGGGAGTTAACTATTTGCCTATAGCTGGGACCCTAACAGGTGCTACCACGCCGGATCAGGGTGGACCTGTGAACAACAGTAATTAAAAGGTGGCCCCACGCTCCTCCACACCTACTGACCAGAGGCCTTGCTTTTAGATGCAGTTTATCGTCTTACCCTGAACGGTCGAAGAGTTCCAGTTCCCGTTGGGTTCGTTGTATTCACTTAGGCGCAAATCCCCATGGGAAAGTTAGGAATCCACATCTTCTCCCCACCCCGAAATCTTAATACATGTATCACTAAATCATTATTATCTCACACGAATCTTACTAAAATTATTTTCTGGATTGAAATACAGGTTGATAATCAGTAAAACAGACCAATTGACTCGAGTCTATAAATTCAAATGTTCTCAACATATTTTAGTCATTTTAAAGGCGAGAACAAATATATTATTTTCAATCAATTTACCCCAAACAAAGCAATAAAGCCATCAAGACACAAGGGGATATTGGGAATAAAAAGTCTTTAGAAGGAACCAGAAACTCAATCCTGAACAGGAAACAAGGGATAAACTTCTACTTCTGCTCAAAAGCCTGAGAAGGAGCGTGAACCTGGCGATATGCGAACCTATCTACACCTATTATCATTTGTCTTTATAAATTGAATTTTTCTGGCGATGCAGAATTGGATTTTTTATGTTATTTTTAATTCTAAATTAATTTTGCATTTTGATTTTAAAAATTGCATAGACTGAATGTCAAGGCTTTTTATTGCCACAGCCTAATCAATTCTAAACTTTACAGTTAAGATCCTCCAGGTCATGTACACTAGGATGATCTATCCACATTCTCCTCGTCTTCCATTGGTAAGAAGGACCTGCTTTCTATGAACATCTATTTTGTGGAACCGACTCCCAAGTGGATGTTTTCCGACCACTACAATCGAAATTACAGGGCTGTCCAAAATTCCTGTCACCCCATACCAAAAACTAATGATAACAATAGAAGAACAAATAATATAGTAATACAAAGCACATGTACTGAATTCAGTTTATTCACTTTTATTGACGCTGTCAGGAAGGTCTGTATGAACACCATCATTTTCGTGTCAGCCATCTGAAATAGAACATTATATAATATAGGTGTGACAAGACTTTCGAACAACCCTGTAATTCAAGTGTAGGGTTAACCGGTATCTTTCTCATATACAGTGTAACCCGGACATAAGAGAGTTGTCGGGACCGAAGAAGAAGTCTCTTATATCCGGGTTTCTCTTATATCCTGGTTTGGTTTATTTTATATACATTAAAACAGGCTCTAATTTGGGACCAGATAAAATCTCTCTTATATCCGGGTTTCTCTTATATCCGGGTCTCTTATATCCGGGTCTCTTATATCCGGGTTACACTGTACATATAAACTGTATTTCTTTCCGCTCACACAGCAGCCTCTTCAGTAAACCTCGATTTTTCAAAAATTTATAATTACAGCTACTCGTTGCTGTTGTTATTTTACCATTTTTCTATAGCTCACAGATAATTATTTTTTTAAATAACATGTTCATTATTTTTTTTTTATAATATAGTAAATAAAAAATAATACGGTTTAGTTCTGATATTATTTATAATTTTGTAAATAGAAAATTATTCTTGTTAATAAATAGTCTAATAAATAAATAAATAATGCTTAATGTCTTTGTTGTCAATTGTGTATAAATATTGTCAAAATGCCAAGAGAAAAACATATATTGTGATGTTAAGAAAAAAACGACCCTATTCACATACCGTGAAGAGACAGTGTCAAGAATGAAAATACCCTTTTTACATACCGTAAAAGACATTTTGATGTCAAGATTAAAAACACCCATATCACATACTGTAAAAAGACATTTTGGTGTCAAGAGTAAAAACACCCTTTTCACATATCGTAAAAAGACATTTTGATATCAAGAATAAAAAAACCCCTTTTCACATACCGTAAAAAGATATTTTGATGTCAAGAATAAAAACACCCTTTTCACATACCGCATTTCGTTTCTTTGTTTTTCCCGTTTTTTGCGGTTGTGTTTTTTAAAATTTTGACTTCAAGTCAATGAAAACTTAACAAAATACTACCCAAAACTTGGTAGGTTGTTTTTCTCATCTATGGGCTATTTAATGTCAAAATCTAGATATTTTGTACGTAATTCAAATACTTCTTTGGAAATAATAATGGTTTTAGCGATACAAGTCTTACTAATTAACCCATAGCTGGGGGAAAGAGGTAGATTCATACCGTTTTAAAGGTTATTTGCATGTAAGTAAATATAACGACCCCGACCGGAATAGAAACTCGACGCTCCGATTCATATTTCTGAGCCAATGTCCAATGGAAACAACTGCACATCAAAGTTTACAGAAACTGGTATTCCCAAGCGGTCACCCATCTTGGTACTGGTCATGCTCGACGTTACTTAAGTGATCGTACGGAAACCGGTGTTTCAACATGATATGGCCGTAAACCACACAAAACTTGAAGACGCAAGAATGCTTTTCTGAAAATAAAATTGAAAAATAAAAATGACCGCTACAATTTTTTTTTTCCTCGTGTGAAATGTCAGGTATGACACGTGAAACGCAGGCAAAGATGTAGAAATTTTAGTGAAATTTGTTGTAATTTAAGAGACACTGCATGCTCATATGTAGAAACATATGTCGGCCGACAGAGGTAAGGACTTATCTTGAATATGAACACACATTCACTTTTACGCAGAAATATACTGTCAAACTGAATTGACATTGTATACAGAAGCCAAAATGCATAAGCACTTGCACATGGAGATATACATTTAAACTTACAGAGGTATACAATCCCAAAAACGACACAAACACACGCACGAACGAGAACACACACATTTTTTTCCAAATGACACGCAGAGTTTTATTAACGAATATGCACTTAGATAGAGTTTTATTGCTCGCGGTGATATGTGTACGGTGAATCCGTGCACACACCGCTGTGTCTTTCGCTTATATCGGATGACTCATTTTAAGATATGTGCGTGTGTGTGTTGTGTGTATGTGTGTGTGTTTGTGTGCGTCTGCGCGCGCGTGTTGAGCGCGCGTTCGCACGGGTTCCAAGAGAGGGAGACGGTGTAAGTGGGTGCGCGCCGAGAATATTACTTACGTGCGCAAGCACCTTGATAGATTTGAATAGCATTAAATTAATCTGTGCCATTGTGACAAAAAAATGGTTCTCCTGCTCCAAATACTTTCAGAAGTAGACAAATATTAAGACGGGGAAAATCTTATCTCATTTTGCCTGCAATTAAATCTATCGAGGGAGCGAGCACGCGCATGTACACCCACCCATACACAGGTACTCATACATACATACATACATACATACATACATACATACATATTGTATTTGGGCAGCAAACCCTCTTTTATACAAGTTTCATTAAAGACGACGGAGAAGGTATTGCAATTAAGCATTCAATTAAAAATTTTAAAAATACTTCCTTTAAAAGGGCTAATAGAATTAGAAGCTCTAATATGAACATTTCAGAGTGTTTGGATGTCGTTGAGAGGCAGTTCGGAGGATTTGGACAGAGATGGATGAGTCTAATGGTAATTGCGATGCCCGGAAAATTTACTCTGATCATTCTGAAAAGCAAAAGAACTCCTGAATTTTTATATCCAGAAAATTAAAGATTTATACGATCAGAAGAAAAAAATGAATAAACAACTTTATCATTTACATTTTCAGTGGATTTTAATGAATCTTATATATATATATAATGATCATCAAAGAAAAGGCCCAAGAGCCACTCAAAGTAGGTGGTTACTGTCTAGAGTTGTATTACTGTAGTCAAGAACAAGCGCTAGGTGCACAGATGTGAAGCATACATCAGAAGGAACCGAAAACAGAATCATAAACAGTAAAATACGAATAAACCTCTACTCTAGTCCAAAAGTCCGGGGAGAGTGTGAAATGGACGATAGGCGAACTTATATATATATATATATATATATATATATATATATATATATATATTATTTTAATTCCTATACTCTGGCGATAATACAATTTGTAAATAAAATTATATTGAACAAACCGATATTAGGGAAAAAAAATCATATATAAAAAAGAAAAGACTAATTAAGACATGCGTACTAGTAAAAAATAATCAACTACTAACTCAATGTCTAGCCGAAAGAAAAAACACCAACCGAGTAACTAAAGTAAAAACGTAAAAGTGCTCAACGCACTGAGTAGAGAAACGGATCTTCAGGGTATTACGGGTACTACTGGCCAATAGTACCCTGAAGATCCGTTAGATGAAACCTAGGTAGGTAGGTAGGTTCTGACTCACTAGGTTTTCTTCGTTTATATATATATATATATATATATATATATATATATATATATATATATATATATATATATATATATTTATATATATATATTATATATATATATATATATATATATATATATATATATATATATATATTATTTTATTCAAACATATTTGCTCTGAATTTACTTTGAGTTCTCTGGATATCATCCTCCTTGTGTCTACCCATACGGATTACTTAGTTTTGCATAACTATATATATATATATATATATATATATATATATATATATATATATAATCCCGACAGGATGCAAAACTTTGGCAGCAAATAACTGTTGTAAGGTCCGACGTGCCTTCACTAACTCAGCTACGATGCATCCTCACCGATCAAACAAAGTTTTAAATGTGGCTTTAAGCGAAATCCTTTCCGTTGAATAATTTTTTTCGCTCTGTGATTAAATATGTGACCCAATAAAGAAAACAAACAATTTACTTAAATATTTATTTTCGAAAATAATGTTGCTTGTCAAATGCTGTAAGTTCAGTGTCGAATAATAACCCCATAGATTAAATATTATCCAGTTAAAATTTCAGATACTTGGATTTATGTATCCATTGTCGGATTAGATGCTAAATTATTTTAATCCCGGACTGGGGGCAAAGACGGTGCATGCTCTTTATAAATAGATGTTAGCAATGTTTTGAATAGTACTACTAGTAATAATAATGATAATAACATTAATAATGGTGTATGAACACCACCCAAATCCGGTTACGGAGATAAGACAGGTAACAATTCTATGGGTCTTTACAATGCACACAGACAGAACAATCAAAACTAATTGCCCAGATATTATAATCGAAGACCTCAAAAACAGAATCTGCTTTCTTATAGACATGTCAGTCTTTGCAGACTGTAATGTATCTTTGAAGATCTTCAAAAAATTATAAAAATATAAGGACCTTGAAATCGAAATCTCACTAATTTGGCTCATGAGGCCATCAACAATTGAAGTTGTAGTTGGAGCCCTCGGATTGATTGGAAAATATTCCAATCAACTCATTGGCTCATGCCTTAAAGAAATACAAAAAAAATATTATCAGAAGTACAAAGCACACCTTTAAAAGGGCTTTATCTATGTGTGATTTTTTTATTTTTATTTTTTCAAAAATTATCAGTGCGAAATGTCATGATGCTATTTCTGACATTAGGTCTCTGATCAGGGACCAGAAAGAAAAGAATATACACCAGAAACGCAAAAAAATAAAATAATAATAATATAAAATTCCAACTAAGAAAAAATAATCCTAAAGAAATCGAACTGTTTTAATTGCGACAATTTCGCTCATACAATTTTACAGATCTCCCAAACAAGTTAAGCTCCCAATTACTTGAAAATGAGGTAGAGATTTATCCTTTGTTTCCCTTTTAGAATTGGTTCTCAGGTTCCTGCTAAAGTCTACATTAACTCTGTACTTCTGACATCTCCGCCTAAACTGAAATTTTATATATTTTTTTCATTCAATACGAGTTGTTTGTTTATTTAACATACTCCTCTTCGGTCTTTGGAACAGGAATATATGTTCTGCTCCCAGTTTAGAATTCGGTTTCTGGTTCCTTCTAAAGATTTTCCTTCTTATCCATTTCTGGCTACACATTGTGTCTTGGTGATACTTTAGAATTTAACAGTAATTCTCAAACCACATTCATTCCTTGTTACTACCTTACTAAAAAAACGTGGCGAAAAACTCGTAGATGACTTTTACTACGATCTGAAAGCGTCCGCACCCGCAGCTTCTTTATTATTTCAGGAGATTTCAGTGGTCGAATACGGAAGGATGATGCTCCATTCCCATATAATAAGAAAACTAACAGAAACAGGAAAAAACTGACAAACTTCGCTCCAAATTACAAACAAGGGTTTCATGAAGCACCTAAACCTTCTGTCGACATTCGAACATCCAGCCGGACCCTTGACCACAAATTCGTGAGAAACAAGTGGAAAAACGGTGTCCGTTATGCCCAGGCATATTCGTCCTTCTCTTCTGTCAGTTCTGTTCATAGAGCTGTTTCCATACTTATCGCTCTTAGCCTAAGGTCAGTGCCAGAGCCTATGAAACAAGTCGACTGAGCCAGGGTATCATCAAACAGAACTTTGAGACACTCCATTATTGTAGATGTTAGGAAACGTTATGAAATGCTCTCTGATCAAACCTGATGACATTGAAACACGATACAACAATATTTTATCCTCTACAGAATAAATCACACTCTCAAAAGTGCCAAAGAGGGAAACAGCAAAATTGTCCAATTGTTAGATTAAGCCTTTAACCGTTGTATCACAGAAATGATAGATATATTGCTGGAAATCGCTGATGTTTTTATAACACTATTGGACTCTACTTTGAACAATAAGAATATATTTAGATCTAAGTAGAAATGGAGATCACTCTTTCTGTTGTGACCTGCTGATCCAGTTTTCTTTTCTGCTGTTCTTCCCTTTTTAAACTTATTCACCGTTCTCTAGATGATTCTTGAATGGAGTTTGAAGATGTTAGCCAGAATATGAATATTGGTACCATTACTCAAGGCCTGAATGATCTTTTTCATCTCACCATTGCTCAGTCGGGAAGACATAGTGGGGTTGACACAAAACGATTTTAACTTATTCTTTTCTAGCTGAATAACTCAAAGGGTTTTTTTTTAGTGATTCTTACGACAAATGTTGTCAGGATGGCTAAACGTCTTCACTGAAAACCTCGAAAAAAGAACTCAATTAGTTTGGTGTTTTTCTTTAGATTTTTAGATAGTAAATATTTTGTGGGATGGACAATTAAGCTGTTATACGATTTGGACAATTATGCTGTTACGTCCGGTATATATATATATATATATATATATATATATATATATATATATATATATAATAAATTAATCGATTTAAAATATGTTGTTTTTTTCGCTACACAGTTCTAACCATGTTTCAAAAATGGAAGCTAAAGTCTCCGAATTTAATTTTGTAATTAAATTAAAGACATTAGTTTCATTTCATCCTCAAGCGAATTTTGGAGTAACTTTTAAAATTACTGGGTTTTAAAAGACACAGCTAAAATTGTAAAAATAAAAATATCTATAAGAACACCGGAATATATAT